TTATGATCTTTAATCAACTTTAATTTGTGTTATTGAAGATAGTTGCGAGCCAGATTGAAGGGCAAATGAAATAAAAAATCTCTAATTTAAGACATTTGTCAAAGAGCTACAGTTTTGTGTCAGGAAGGAACTCATGAATACTAATCTCCAGTCTTTCATGAGGGGTCATATTATTTTAACGTCAAACCAGAGAGAACATTCCAGGAAGTATTAAGTTTATTTGGACAGTTATGAGAAATTGATTTTGGACAGTTTCCCTTGAAATAAAACGCTTTGTGTAGGGCTGTATTCCCTTAATCATTTAGTCTGTTGATGGTGCCTTAGTCGAACAAAATTTGTGTTGATCAATGAATTATTGTATTTAGTGTTTAAAAGTCTATATTACGCAAAATTGATTGATGTGAGCTTTTAGCCATGTTTGAATGTTTTTCCCTCATCAAAAACATTCCTGGAGTGATTTCAAAGCTCAAAATGCTCTGTTCCACCTTGTCATGTCATGAAGCAGTAGTTTTAAGTTAACAGCGACCTTTTACCTTTTAGTTCAGTATAGATGGGCAATTTCATGGGCTGGAATGGTCTAAATGATTCTAGTGAAGGTGTGTGCAGTTAAAATCACATCACAAGGTAGTACAAAGTGTTTTCTGTTTGAAAACCAAATTGAAAAAATGGAAAACTATATATTTTTTTCTTCAGTTCTTGATTTTGTGCTTAATGAGTAATGGAAAAAACTGATAATGTTTCCGTGACTTAAACTGCGATGCCGGACTTTTGGGGTGCATATGGACTGATCCCTGGACTGATCCTGGACTGATCCCAGGACTGAACCAGGAGTGAACCAGGACTGAAACAGGTTTGAAACAGGACTGAACCAGGACTGAGTGTTGGGATGGGCCCGGAGGTGTGCCTGTGTAGACTGTCGGGTGATCGGGACTGAGACCAAGACTGAGAGTGGGACCAGACTGGGACTGAGTGTGGGAACAGACCAGGACCAGACAGGGACTGAGACCGGGATTACACCAAAAGTGAGACCGGGACTAGACCAAAAGTGAGACAAGGACCAGATCGGGACTGAGTGTGGGACCAGACCAGGACTGAGACCGGTTTAATCCTGGTTTAGTCCTGGTTTAGACCTGATTTAGTCCTTGTTCAGTTTTGATTTAGTCCTGGTTTAGTCCTGGTTCAGTCCTGGGATCAGTCCATAAGAGTCAAAATTGGATGAAACGGGAAATGGTCGTTATCTGTTTTTTTCCATTATTCATTTAAACACCAAATTGAAAACTGAAAAAAAAAAAAACTAATTATTATCTGTTTTCATTTTGATTTTGGTGACAAATAATGATTTTATTTATTTTTTTCTTATTTTTGGTTTTATTTTGAAGAACAAATGAACAAATGATACACAAATTATTTAGCCACGCCCTCTTTAAGTAGACTAATTGGTCGACATGGCAACTCTTTAGTCAAACGAGAATTTCTTTAGTCTTGACTACAGCACTACACTTGTGACCATTTCATATTGTGTAGTTTTCTGGTCACACTGTGTAAAGTGATTTTTCATATGGGGTCTAACAATGTACCAAATCCGCCTTCGCTCAAAACGATGTATTCAACTAGGTAGGTGAAGAAAGGGTCAAAAGTTATCAGGAATAGAGCAGGAGAAAAGGGTAGCAATAATGAAAAAGCAATAGGACGGAGCGAATGTTCATCCTTTAATAATTTTCCTCCGTCAGAGAGAGCAGAACCTCCTGTCCTCTGTGAAAATCCGCTGTGTGATTGGAGCTTAGAGTGGCCCATAACTCTGTCCCTCTGCCTGCCACTCTGGAGGAGAAATAGAAAGTGAAGAGGCCACAGCATAAACACGGAACAAAGCACTGTGTTCAAAGAAGCGACAAGACTGAAAATTGTTCCAAATGGTAAATGGGTTGCTTTTTATACAAACATCTTCTTTATTTACCATTTCTTTTCACAGCGCAGGTCAAAAATGTACCTGGAGTTGTTTTGTTTCATTCACACATGTTTGAGTAATCCTTTATTATTAGTCTGTCTACTTCTCCATCCACCTTGCGATGTCATGAAGTGCTAGTTTTCAAGTTACCGTATTTTCCGGACTATAAGTCGCTCCGAAGTATAAGTCACACCAGCCCAAAAAATGCGTAATTAATTTTTAAAAAAAAATCAAAATTGCACTTTTTGGGGGAAATTTATTTTATAAAATCTGAGACCAGGAACTGATTCATCTTGAAAGTCAAGTTATAGTAATAATAATAGAACAGAGAACAACAGGCTGTTAACGTCACATATGAACAGTTCTTCAGATAACTGTAACATAAACAACAGAACAGAACAAGTTTAACAAACTCTCCATCTCACTCCAAATCACTCAGTCCATTGAATTCTTCATCCTCAGTGTCACTTCTGAGCAACTCCATGACCTCTGGAGGTAAACAGAGCCGCTTCCTCTTCTGTGTAGCTGTCGTCAGACTCAGTATCAGTTCCAGTTAGAATTATTCTGGCTTTTCTGAATTCTGACAGGATGGTTTCGGTGTCACTGAAGTCCAGGCTTTGTCGATCCATCCAGTGACTTCCAGGAGAAGTTGCATGGCGCACCTTCCTGGTTGTCACAAGTTTCTCGCTCACTCCAAACTTTCTTTCTGCTGCTCAATTACTGTTTTTGGCTGCATATTTCACTACTTGCAGCTTGTAATCTGAAAATTGTAAGTTTTCAGTGGTTCAGAAGTAGTGGTGTAATCGACTGACATGATCCCAGACAGGACAGCGGCTTTTTCTGCAGGAGACTTGCGCAGTAGAGCAAAGTTACAGTGGTACAGGAGTAATAGGAGCAGCGGATATAGAAACCTAGAGCCTCTCGCGGCTGTCAGAGTGAAAATTTTAATATATAAGTCGCACCAGAGTATAAGTTGCAGGAGGACCCCAAACCATGAAAAAAGTGTGACTTATAGTTCGAAAAATACGGTACTGCTTTGAAAAGAAATCAAATATAAGAAAAAAAAGAAAAAATAAACACAACACAAAGCACTGTGTTCAAAGAAAGGACAGGATTAAAGAAAGTTGAAAGAAGAAAATTGTTTCCAAATGGTAAATGGGTTGCTTTTCTATACAAACATTGTCTTTATTTTCATTTCTTTTCGAGGCAGTTCAATATCAGGCTGTAATAAAATAACTCTTTTACTATGGATCACGGAAAACAAAAGTCGAAATTGTTACAAAATGCTGTTGATTGAAACATCCTTTACATCTCAGTGTTCTCAGAATCACATTATTTGAAGTGCTTTTTCAGCTTTCAGTTTGTATGCTCAGAGGCTCTGCAGGGACAACTCTCCATCAGACTGTATAGATTTTCTGTAAGTACGTCTCCAACCCACAGGAGAGACTAAATTGGCCAAGTGTTTGAGTGGAAGGGGCTGTTCTGTCTGCAATATGAAATCGCTCGGAAAATCCCATAAGGTTTCTCCTCTTAATACTTACATCGTGTTACACCTTGACCATTACAGATCCCAAATTATTTTTTTGGCTTTCTGAACTATGATTGATATTTCATGTTACACAGTTTGGAAAAGTCCAGTGAGAGTAGTTTAGTTTTGGTTTCTGAGCATGGCTGTGTGCTCTTTAAAGCTTCCATCTGTAATAACACAAGATTTGCTCACTCACCCCTGATGTATTCTCATATATCGCCACTAGAGGCAATCTATGTTACTGCTGTCTGATAGTGGACCCGCTTTGACCTCACAGTAGAAGACCATAGAGCACAGTTGAACCATGGATCTATTAAAATAACTGGATAGGGGATTGCTGCTTGTAGCTGCCTCCAGTTGACCTAGTGGTCCCTCACTTAACGGAACTTAAACGGAAAAAATCCCATGAGCTGAGAAAGGATTTTTCTGTTTGTGTTCGGCTGACAGGACACCTACAACTTTCAAAAATGTCGGATATGTTGGCGATTTTTACCTATTTTTGGATCATAAACGTTTTCTCAGCTCAAAACCCTTCAGTTGTCTTAAAAAAAACGCTTTATAATCGTTAGTTCTGCTCTGATTGATCATGTGATGCATGAGACTGTGCTCCGAGCGTGCCTTGGCATGTACCCGCGGGAGAAAAGAGCACTACTGCACATGCTTGGTCGGCCCACAGCCACATGAAGTACCGAGTTGGGTTTGGCTAATCTGGAATCATGCGCCTTTGAGCCCATTGACTTGAATGGGCCATTTTTAAACCCCGGGGCTTGAGTTGAACTTGAACAAAGGCCGAGCGAGGGGAGGGGGGTCAGGTTTCACATCTGCTATCTACTGGTGAAAGAAATCAAATAAATTTGTAGATGGTAGCTTTTTAAAATTTAAAAAGCTCTTCTTGGGTACATGTTCCACTGATGTTGGAAGTTTCTCAGATGAAGGGTGAAGAGGACTGGGGTCAGGACAGTCCCTTGTGGGCCCCGTAGTTTTCATTCTGTGTGTGTTACAGTTTTCATGCATGTATATGAACAAAATAACATCCATTTATGACAAATTTATGGATCACGGTATTTTGGATTCTACTTAACTTGCGTATATATATACTTTTTTTATCTTGTGTTTTATGTCAGATGATACCAGATTGTATTAGCTGGCTGTTATTTCTCCGTCTGTCGCCTCAGTGGTGTCAGTTCAAAAAGTACAACTGGAAATAGCCGTTTCAGATCGATGAACAGATGGAAGCTGCAACATCTCAACAGTCTGTGAACGTTTATATAGGAGCGAACTGCTTGGAAACAGTAAAACAATTTCAAATGTTCAAATGCACCAAATGATATCAGCTCTAGACAATGTTCCAGTTATAGCGCAATTCCACCAATAAAGTTTTTTTTTTTTTTTCTTTTTACCCCAAAAGTGAGTGAGTGTGTGCATTTGTGTGTGGATGTTGAAGACATTTTCAGTCATGCATATACACTTTTTTCCAGTCCATTTGTCTTTATTTATATTTATTTCTCCATATCTCTTTGTTTATAGGAAGTTGGCGAAGAAGCAGAAGGAGACAGCGAGCAGCTCCACGCAGCAGAGGGAGATGGGTCCAGTGACCACAGCCGACAAAAGCACCACAAAAGTCAGTACACTGCACAAAGACGACCCCTTCTCCACCTCCAACCAGGAACTCAACGGGTTTGGTAAGCACATAAAGCAATGTGACGTGATGTTTTATCCACTGATGTGTTTACCCATCAACCACCAAGTGTGTTGTTAGAATGTTAGTAATATTTTTGCATTACAGTGAAGGCAAAACTCTGCTCTAAAAGTTGTGAAAAACACATAAACTTATTGAGTGAATAATTAGGACTGCCGCTAAATGTTTAAAGTGAACCAATTCGATTGTTTCAAGTTTCAAGTACAACACCTTAAACGCAATGGTCCTATATTACTTAAAAATTTAGTCTTGTGAGCTTCAAGCCATGTTATAATCTTGTTACCTCCTCAAAAACATATGTGGAGTTGTGTTTTGTTTAATTATTTTATTACTAGTCTGTCTATATCTCCAAAGCTGAAAATGCTCCATCTACCTTACGAAGTGGTAGTTTTCAAGTTAACAGCTGCCTTTTACATTTAGTTCAGTTGAGATTGACAATTTCAGCTATGAAGTTATCCAAATTATCCCAGTGAAGGTGTCTGGAGTTTAAAAACACAACTGCTGTATTGCCACATGACATCACAAGGGGGAACAGGAGTGAAGAACTCAACCTACTGTATTTTCCGGGCGATTAGACGTGCTCTTAAGCCTCTAACCCCATCAAAAAACGATTGCGCGCCTCGCAATCCAGAGCGCCCTATACACAAATCCACTCGGGTGTCCCAGCACGACTTCAGTAAACTACAAAGCCGCACCACCTGCAGCGCACGCAAACACGCACGGAGCAGACAGCGACCGCAGAGTGAAACACACCCGCAGCCACACTCATCACTCTGCGAGGACGAGGAACGGAACGGAGGAACGAACCGAAAAAGCGAGTGCAATGTGCCACTTCGAGCCACGACTGAACAACTGAGTCACTGCGAACACGCCAACTATCCAGCGGTCCCAGACAGCACCCTCCCTACACGCCACAATTAAACAAAGCCGAGAGTCACCGTGAACGCGCCAAACAAAGTCCAACTGAGCCCTGTAACTGTTGTGTATCTTTTAAAGTCCGGTGCATTTTATTTGTGAAAAAAGTTAAAAAATAGACCATTTAATGACAGTGTGCCTTTTAATCCAGAGCACCTAATAGCCCGGAAAATACAGTAAATATGCAGGGTTTGTGTGTTAAACATGTGTGAATGAAATAAAACTTCACTCCTGGTATGTTTTTGATGAGAAAACAACATAAAATAGATTAGAAAATAGCTTTATATGTGCCCTTTAAATGGCACAACTTATGTACTCATTAGGCACATTCTCATGAAAAACAACAGATGACATTACAGAAAGATCTTGCGTGCTTACATGTATGACAAAAGGCACTTTGACTAATGCCTTTCCGTGAATTGCAGATGATCACTCTTAAAAGCCTGTAAATGTCAGGGTTGAGCTGAGCCAGTGTAAAGTGAGTGAAGAGTGTGTGCTGAGAGCTTTAGTGCAGGACACAGAGCGGCGTGTCCGGAGCAGAGCACAGGGCTCCTGTGTTCAACTTCAGCTCGTTCCTCAGTCCCTCTGGAGCAGCCCTGGCTCTCAGCGGCCAAGCCCCCAAAAGGGCAGGCTGACATTTTCAAGAGGAAAATGCCCTTCTGAGAGACCTGTCTAATTACCCCAGACACACTGAGGGAGGACGCACCAACGCAGCACAAAGAGACTTTCACAGAGTGCAGGTGAACTACTGCACTGTATAGTAAAGTACAGTATATGAAACTATGGCCTATCACCAGGCAGAGAGAGTCTAAGAACTGAAACAGAAATACTGCAGTTTGTGTTAGAGGCTTTGAACCGGAGTCCTGCTGATTTTATAGAACAACAAACATATGGGAACAGCAGCAGGAAGCATTTATCACCACATTTTTCTGCTTAAAAACAATATTAGGCCTTATATCTTCCTTCAATCAAACTCGCTTATAGACAGTGTGTCCCTTAGTCTCTTGAGTTTCAGTCACAGCTCTGCCTCAGTTCTAATGAGAGTGAAAAACGCTGACACAACGTGGGAGCAATAATATTGTGCAGACTCTCACAAAGAAATAACCTTTGTTATTGCATCCACACAGACCTCCACACTCCACTGTATATGACAGTTTATTATGAGACAGTTTAACATGCAGCTGCCATTTGCCTCAAGAGAACTGTGTATTTTCTGGTCAGTGGGCAAATCAGGCTCAGTGGTTAGAGCTCCAGTGTAACAGTTGGAGGTTAAATTCCCTCTTGGACCAAGTTCTGTTGTTGTGTCCTTAGGCAAGACACGCATCCACCTAGCAGCCTCACTTCCGTAAGTCTACACCAGGGCAGGCTGGCGTCAGCTAGTGCCTCCACGGAATTTCATTTCTCTCCAGCAACTAGGTCAGGAATCGGAATACACTAGACGGTTTGCAAGAACCCAGGAAGTTGTAGACCGCGCACCGGCCAATCAGTGAAGAGCTGAATTAACCTGAGTTGATATCCTCCTTTGGACTTCTTTGTCAATTACAAACTTTGCATTTTTTATTGCACCTTTAATTGACAAGTTCATCTCGCAGAAACGGCAATAATCATTTCACGTTTGTTGTTGTGCAGGCTGTTACTTGGACACCACCGAGTGTTCCGGTGCATTACATATGTCTCAAACAAATAGCAGCGATGGGTTAAATAAAAAAGTACCCGCCTACCATCGAGTGAACAAATTCTAATACTGTGAGGTCAGACGGTTTCCATGAAGTGAAACCGACTAATGAATCAGGCTAACTGTAGCTTACCACATAGAATGAATAATGATTTTAGCACTTTGAGATGGTTCTGTAAAAGTGTGTTACAAGTGTCAGTTATTATTGATATACTTCTGTCATAAGAGTACAACTTAAAAATGCTGTCTTAAAAACGTTAAAAACTACAAGTTACTTTTACACTGTTTGTTCCTCACTTTCTCAACACATTTTGACCAAATCTTCACCGCAGTAAATTTATAATGTTTTTTCACAACTTTCAGAGGACAGAGTAGCCACTAACATACAGTCCTAAGAGGTAAGATTTTACAATATATCTTTACTGGGGCCAAACAGATTTTACCTTATTACAGCCCCACATGCTTTAGTTTAAATCTGAAAATATTTTAGCATTTTCCGTTTGCTGAGAGCGTATCACACTGGCAATAGTTGTGAAATTAAAAGTTTACTGTGTAACTTTTCTGGTAGAAGGTCCACCACCTGTTTAATTCCATGTTGTTGTTTTTTTCTTGAATTGTTCTGTAGTATGGCATTTAATTTAAGGCCACATCTCCAGGCCAAGTTACAGGTCAGATCTGTGGAGAAGTGGACTCACTTACAGACTTAATCCATGTTTTGCGGTAGTTTTAAGAAATAAAAACACCTGTAATTGAGTAAATACAAGATATATTTGTTTTAATGCCATACTGTGGAGCACCGAAGGAGAAGCAATAACATCGTAGAACCTCCACCAGAAAAGTTACACAGTGCACCTTTACCAGAATGATAAATTGAACCCATCTGTAATTGTCATCCTTCCACGAGTCCAGTCCCGTGAGTGAGTGATGGCGAGAGGCTCTGCGGGGGTAAATATGTGTGCAGCTGTGATAACTATGTCTGATTGAACAGACCCGGCTCCGGTTTCATATGTCACTGTCAGAAATGGCCTGAGGAGGTCTGCGGGCTCGGAGACTCGTCCTGCAGCCTTTACTGTACAGTGTGGAGGAGAAGAGCCATCCAACACTAGAGAAGGAAGCACATTTACAACCACCATAAATCAGACACCTGGTTGAGAAGCTTCTGATGAGAAACGATGGAGTTTGATGATTAATGGGAACTTCAAATGTGGCTGTGCAGAAAAAAAAAAAAAAAAAAAAAAAAAAAGAATAGAGACATTATCTACTTTAAGCCATTTATTACTATTGTATTTTTCCATTTCTGATGATTAAATTCGGGAATAAATAACGTTAGAATGTATTGAATTGAGCAGTCGCTTTTGCAATTTGAGTTGGAGCTATTATCAAATCGCACAAGCTACAGTCATTTAGATAATAGAACAAATATCCTGTATTTTCTATAGAGGAATCTTGACGTACTCATGGACCTCTACAATGGTCTGAAATTCATCAATTCTTGTATTAGTTTGACAGCTCATATTTCAATCTTCTCTGTGTTAATCCTACTGAAGTTGTTTAAAGGGCCCATATTCCACTATTTTCTGATATATGTTATAATGTTAGCCAGGCTGGCGCTCAGTTTCATTTCTCTCCAGCGACTAGGTCAGGTTTCGGGATACACTAGACAGTTTGCAAGAACCTCGGAAGTTGTAGACCGCGCACCGGCCAATCAGCGAAGAGCTGTGAAGCCATGACGCCAGGCTCAAGCGCCTGTCTGGGTCCCTTTTAGTAAACAAAGCGGTCGATGTGGATGTAGATGAAGCTATACTTTCTGTGTTGGCAACGATTCCCAAGATCGAGGATTTAAAGCCGGAACAAAGAGAAGTTTAGGTGAATTTTATCAAGGGGAAAGATGTTATTGCACTTTTTCCTATGGGATTTGGGAAAAGCTTAATATACCAATTAGCCCTGTTAGTGGCACGTTACATATGTCACGACCAAATAGCAGCGATTGGTTAAATAAAAAAAGTACCCGCCTACCGTCATGCAAATGAATTTAAACGCTGCAAAGTCAGACAGTTTCCTTGAAGTGAAACCGGCTGGTGAATCAGGCTACTATAATGTTTCTTGATTGACATAAACATACCAGGAGTTGTGTTTTGTTTTATTCCACACGTTTAACACACAAATTTTGCATATTTAGGCTGAGTTCTTCTCTAAAACTGGAAAAAAAAACTGTTCCACCTTGTGATGTAACGTGGTAATACAGGAACTACTTCACTGTGTGTTTAAACTCCATATACCTTTACTAGAATCATTTGAGACCTGGAATTTCCAGTATCTACTAAACAAAAGGTAAAAGGTAGCTGTTAACTTTAAAACTACCGCTTCATGACATCACAAGGTGGAACAGAGCA